ATTTTGACTTAATTTGAGTCAAATTTTCAGACTAACAAGACAAATAATCTTACACATTCTGAAAACAAGATGATTATTCTTACATAATCAGTTCTTGTTTAGTAAATCAGTCTCAAAACAAGATCAGAAAGACTTTTTGGCTGGATATAAGATTTTAAAACTTGGTTAGATGGACAGTTTTTGCAGTGAATTCAAAGTTTGATTTAAATGGTCCAAAAAGTGTTCATCCCTAATAAAAATATACCAATTTCATCATGRCGTCCTTTAAAAAGTAACATATATTTATATACTGACACAGATCTTATGCTCAGAAGCATGTAAACTAAATATGGATTCCCCCTCGGCTCCCCCGCAGTTTGACTGGAAATCCTTTCACACAAAAACATTTTCAAATGTAAATTGCACGTGTGAACTCTCTGCAGCAGTAGGCCAGTCTGCTCCATGCTGAGTTAAGTACTGCCTGCATGTGGGGCCTAATAAGGCCTTTCCCTTTTCTAAGAGTCAAACTCACCACGAGGAGTCACAACAACAAAGAACGGCCTAATGGCCTCCAATTTCCCACATTAGTGCCCATTTAATGGCTGACCTGCCCTCCTCTCGTTAGGCAGCGCAGCATGCGTGCGTGCGCGCACACACACACACACACACACACACACACACACACACTCCTTCGACTCTCCAGTGTCGCACTGCCTCGGGCCTCTCTGCAACACTTCCACCCCTCGCTGAGACCACACAATAGACCCGTTAGTGAAAGGGCTGCCCTGTGATCAGCAGTGCATCCATTTGCTGAGTAAGCAAGTTTTTTGTTTTGTTTTTGTTTTTTGTCTGATTAGTGTGTGTAGGTGTGTGTGTGTGAGTGTATCATCTCCTCCAATCTGTCTTCATTTGCATTCGTGGAGTTAAAGCGTTCGGCTCGGAGTTTTTCTGAGTTATTCCAAGATAAAGTGGCGCTGTCTGGAAAAGATCCCCCTGCACTTTATGGGAAAACACCGGCCGACATACAGTGGGGGAATAAAGGGAGCCTGCCCGAGCTGACGGGAGCGTTGTGCGTATGTCAGCTATGCCATAAAAATGCCATGGGTGGAGGATGACGTTGGCAGGTCCCATTCAGCGCTACAGCAGTGAAAGAGCCTTTAGGGTGAATAAAGATTCTTTGGCCTGTCAGGTCCTCGTAGCTCCCCTCGGAACAATGCCCACTGAGAGCAGCTGTCTTAATAGGCGGTGGGACTGACAGCTTTAGGAGGCATCAGAGCAGCATCTGAGTCCAGACAAGGATCCGCTGTGTGATAACAATCCCACTGTAAGCCTTTAGCCACAGGCTCGGGGGGCAGTGAAAGCGCTCGGTACATTTACGACCTTAAGGAACCTGAGCTGACAGCGTTGGCAGAAACTTATCACCTCCGTGTTCAAGAGCTCCATGTGTGAACGGATGTCGTGGCACGGCGGCAAAAGATTTACTGCTTACCGTGAAGCTGATTGGAACTAAATGGATTTCCAGTTCCTGTATGAAGAAGACCAACAATCTCTGAACTTACTGGAGAAGCTTTTAGGTTTTGATAGGGAGAACTGAGTTGGAACGGTGGATAAATCCAAACCCTGTCTCCTCTGCTACAAGCATCATTTCAAATCAGGCTTTTGGAAACAGGTGAAACTGATCCCCCCCTTGCAAAGAAACAGAGGGCTCTCCATTTCAAACATCACCTCCAGCCTGTTTACCTTCACAGTTTGGTTTCTATGGGGCTGGCAGATTCCTCGTGTTTTGGGTTCGTATCACTCCTGGCAGGTCGCCTTGTGCGTTGCCAGCCCCCCGAGGCTGACAGGGATGGGCTGGAGCTGTCAGAGCGAGACAATGAGGCAGAGCTCACACGAGGCCAACCCGCCGCGCCCCCGTAAAAACCGCGATTCGCGCTAATCCCACACAGCCTCCGCAATTAAGACCATCACTCCTCTCCATCAGCGCGAACCAAAAAGTTTTAAAGCCAAAGGTTTTATATTAGAGTGCAGGTTGCCAAACGCTGACTGGCGGCTGCGATCTGTCAAAAATAAACCTTGCTGGAGGAGCTGATCCTTAAAAGATTAGAGTAGTTTGACCCTTCAGGCGGGGAAAAGGAGATCTTAATTTTTATTTCTTTTAGTTTTTTTTGATTCTGGGAAACAGAAAAAACTGCCAGGACAGCTCTTAATCATCACTTAAATAGTTGTTTAATTTTCTGTCTTGTTCCACACGTTTTTGTTATATTTTGTGAAGACGAGCTGAAAAAAGACGTTCAGTTTTTTTGAGATTTTGTAATGAGCTTGTCCAGTTTGAGGATAAAGAGATGAGTTGAATATAAATAATGTCTTTTTTCTTCATGACCATATAAAAACAAATGGTTTTCTTTGGCTCAGATTCTTCTTTTATCGAGAATAACCTTATAGAAATTTTATAGACTAGAAGTTGCAAATGATAGTGATGTAATAGTTATTTATTTCAACACTAAATGAAGTAGTGAAACGAACAACAAACAATAAATCAAATAAAAATACTATATGCCATCATTTTGGAGGAAATCAGTACAGAAAAGAGATTTCAGACTTCACTAACTGCAAGAGAAAAACTTTGATTTGTTCAATTTTTTTATCCCCCTCAGAGACTTTGGCTCATGTTCATGAAGTACCTGCAGGTTGTGTTTCACATGATATAACAAAGCTATGGTTGTCACATGACTTTAGAAAACAGTGAAAACGAAACGCAAAATATGCACTTGTGTCCTGTCATGTTTATTTTAAGCTTTTTCCTTAAATAGATAGTAAAAACATATTTTTAAAAATTAAAATGGTTTTAGTGTTGACAAAAAAAATGTACAGTAGGTTGCCTTCAGGCCCAGGCCACCCTTGCAAAAGAGATCAGTAATCACAATGGGATTTGCCTGGTGAAATAACGTAAATAAAAATAAATAACTGAACAGTAAAGATGATATTAAACTGAGACCAGACTGAATTATGTTCACAAATTACTCGAAAGCCCTTTTCACCAAACACTTCAAGTTTGGGCCTGAGAAGCCTTCTTCTGTTTCAGTGTGATTTATGAAGAGGTAGAATGTCGGGACTGAAGTCAACCCGCTGCTGTTTCACCTCTGAGCTGCTAAGTGCTCCATGTAAACGTGACCATTCTTCACACCTCCTTTGGTTCTCCAAAGATGACAGAGATGACGGCTGGTTTAAGACTTTACTGGCCCCAAAGCCTCTCAGATTGAAACTCGTTTTCCTCCAAACTGAGGTTGTTCAAAGAACTATCTGTAAAAGCCAAGTTGTTTTTATTTATATCCTTTCCACCGAACCTTCAAAAGATCTGAGTTATCACTTTACTCAGACTCTACACAAAACTGCTTAAATGTAGCCCCATTAGAAAGCAGCACCACGTTAAGCAGGTGGGAAACCTTTGACACACCCCCACATACAAACACACAAACACACACACAACATTCCTTCGTCCAGTTCCCAGCACAAAACTACTGCTCCTCCAGACTGCACCGTGACTCTCCTCCTCATCCTGCTTCCGCTTCTTTAACTTTTTTTTCCTCTGGGGGAAACCGGGCATTCCCCGCTGCAGATGTCATTAGTGACAAGTGTCTGGATAAAATTTATAAGCCATGAAAACGCCTTCAGCTGAGCAGTCAGGCAGGAGATGAAATATAAGTTGTTGTGTGGCAAAGGGGAGTGGAGGGGTGGGGAGAACTGGAATGTTAAAGAAATAAATCTTATCTAAGACCCCTTTCTCATCCTGTTCCTCGCGGAGCCCACCGCTCCTGCTGAAGCTCACCGAGGTTTGAAAATCTGCTTACTTAACTTTACAACCTAACCCTGTCAGTTAGTAAGGCTGATTGCTGTGAGCACTGGAGTCTGGCTTTCAGCTACAGCACAGTGGTTGTGGATTCACTTTTAATTCAGGAGGTGATAAGGATATAATAACTCTTTGAATCCACTTTAAGAGGTTATGAAGAAAGTTTATACAATAATGCTCCCCTTATAGATGGCTTATAAATAGTGTACTGTTTAACACTTTACAATAAGGCTGTGTGTGCAAGTGTTCAAATGAAAAAAAAAAAAAAAGATTTGCGCAGCAATGATTATTCAGTAAAGGTAAAAAAGCCAGGATGCTAACAAACGATTTGGGCTAATTGCATTAGAATAATGTGGAGTAAAGCGTAGCTTGTGTGTGTGTGTGTGTGTGTGTGTGTGTGTGTGTGTGTGTGT